CTAAACCTAGATCCTCCTGCGGCCCCTAACCAGGCACTGCCTCCCCCAGCCCAGATCTCCCCCCCGGACCCGCGCTACGATTTCGCTCCGGGCGAAGGCCCGAGCCGCGGCCTTTCCCAGTCCGGGAGGCCGGGCCGCGGGGCACCTGCCCCGGCAGGCGGCTCACGCAAGGCTCCCGGCTGCGCAAGGCCGCACCCGGAGCGTTCCAACCCCTCCCCCCACCGCCGCCGCACTCCGAGCCTCGACTTGGCTCCCAGGCCCGGCTGGCGCGGCGCTCAGCCATCTCCAGTCCTTTCCGGCCAGCCCCGCCTTTTTCCCTCATGCATATTCACCTGCCCTCGTGAATTATTCATAGAGGGGGGCGGAACGAACGTTAGGTTAATTATTCATGAGCGCGTACCATTAAAACCGGAGACGGGGAGATTTGTTTTTGTTTTTTAGAAAAAGGTTGCTGGATCATTCTGGCACGTACCAAGCCCTCCCTTTACTACTAAACGAGTGGGGAAAAAAAATCCCCTTCCCAAATTTCACATGGACGGTCTCACACAACAGCGGGCTCCGCCCCCCCCTCCTCGCCTTTGCACTTGGTTCTGTCCCCTCTCCCACCATCCCTTCCCGTGCGTGCTCACCCCTGCCGCCTGGCCCGGGCCGCCCCGCGGCCCGAGGAGGGCGGGGGGGAGCGAGGGGGCGAGGCTATATAAGGCGGCTCCCGGCCGCTCGCGGCTCAGTCGCGCTGAGAAGCGCGCCGGGGACGGATCGGAGGGAGGGGTCCGGCGGCTGGGCGCGGTCGCGCGTGCGGAGCCCGGGGGCTGTGGTGGGGTGTAGTGGGGCTGGTGGGGTGTAGTGGAGCAGGCGGCCCGGGGCCGCGAAGCGCGGGAGGGGGCCGGAGCCGGTTGCTGCCCGCCGGAGGAGGCCGCCGCGGCGCGCGGCCGTGTCACGTGATTCGCCATGCACGGGGGGCCGCCCTCCGGGGACAGCGCGTGCCCGCTGCGCACCATCAAGCGCGTGCAGTTCGGCATCCTCAGCCCCGATGAGATGGTGGGTGCCCGGGGGCAAAGTGTGTGTGTGGGGGGCGGGGTTCCGCGCAGTGCAAATGCGGGGTGGTGCATTGCACAGCTTCGTGCTCTCTGGGGGTGCGTTGGGGGCATTGTACCAGCGAATTCATTGGCTAGTGGAGTATCTGGGGGTGCGTTGGGGGCTCTGCATTCACTAGGGGGTGCATTGCACAGCTTCGTGCTCTCTGGGGGGTGCGTTGGGGCTTTGCACTGCACTAGAGTGCATTGTACAGTCGAGTGGTATTTTGGGGGTACATGGGAGCTTGGGGGCTGTGCATTGCACCAGAGAGTGCGTTTGACAGTGGACTATCTGGGGATACGTTGGGGGGTCTATGCATTCACTAGAGGGTGCATTGTACAGCTTAGTGCTATCTGGGGGTGCATTGGGGTTGTGCATTGATTGCACTAGAGTGCATTGCACAGTCGAGTGGTATTTTGGGGGTGCATGGGAGATTGGGGGGCTGTGGATTGCACCAGAGTGTGTATTTGGCAGTGGAGTATCTGGGGTTGGGGGGTGTCTGTGCATTCACTAGGGGGTGCATTGCACTAGAATGCACATTTGACAGTGGCATATTGGGGGTTGTGGGACTGCATTCACTAGGGGGTGCATTGAACAGTGTACTGGTATCCTGGGGGTGTGTGTATTGGAGGTTGAGGAGCGTGCATTGCACAAGAGTGCTTGGCGTAGTGGGGGGGTGTCTGCATTCACTAGGGGGTGCATTGCACTAGAATGTACATTTGACAGTGGCATATTGGGGGTTGTGGGACTGCATTCACTAGGGGGTGCATTGAACAGTGTACTGGTATCCTGGGGGTGTATGTATTGGAGGTTGAGCGGCGTGCATTGCACAAGAGTGCTTGGCGCAGTGGAGTGGTGTCTGGGGGTGCATTGGACGTTGGGAGGCTGTGCATGGCGCATGGGGGTGTTGCACAGCGTAGTGCAGGGATTCTCAAACTTCTGTACTGGTGACCCCTTTCCCATAGGAAGCCTCCAAGTGCAACCTCCCCCTTATAAATTAAAAAAGCTTTTTTAGATATTTAACACCATTATAAACTGGGCAAAGCAGGGTTTGGGGTGGAGGCTGACCACTCGTGTGCCCCCCATGTAATAACCCCATGACCCCCTGTGGCCTCCAGACCCCCAGTTTGAGAACCCCTGGCATAGTGGTATGGGTGCATTGGAGGTTGGGAGGCTGTGCATTGCACTAGAAGGTGCATTGCACAGCGTAGTGGTATCTAGGAGTGCATTGGAGGTGTGTGGGGCTGGTGCATTGCCCTAGGGGTTCCATTGCACAGCGTAGTGGTATCTAGGGGTGCATTGGAGTGTGGGGCCGGTGCATTGCACGAGTGGGTGCATTGCATAGTGTTAAATGGGGGTGCATTGGAGGTGTGTGGGGCCGATGCATTGCACTAGGGGTTCCATTGCACAGCGTAGTGGTATCTGGCAGCGCACTGGAGTATGGGAAGCAGTGCATTGCACCAGAGGGTGCATTGCACAGTGTGATGGTGTCTGAGGGCTGTGCACAATGTAACGTTTGGGGGTGCATTGGGCGGATGCTGTGCATTGCAGTAGGGGCGCATTGCACAGCGTAGTGGTATCTGGGGGACTTACTGGAATGTGGTGAAATGTGGGGTACAGAGTGAGGTGCAGTGAAATAGGGGTACACACCACAGTGTAGTGCATGACATAACTGGGACATTGAGGACACTTGGAAGCGAAGGACTCTTGTGGCTACATAACCTAATTAAGGGTGTGGGAAAAGTGGGATCAAGTTTTGGGGGTGCTGTGACTAGGATCATGGGGGGGCAGCTGTGGAATATGGGCGGGGACAGACAGATGTACGAATCGGATGTTCTGGGCAGTTTGTTCCCGGACTCTGGGAGCAACCTGGATCTTCGTAACACTTTTCCAGTGGTGGTGTTTGGGGACTGTCACGGAGTGTGGGGGGACACAAGGCCCTGCACCCCCGGCTTCCTGCGATTCACCATGACTCTCAGCCAGCCAGTAAAGCAGAAGGTTTATTTAGATGACAGGAACACAGTCCAAGACAGGTCTTGCAGGTACAGACAACAGGACCCCCTCAGTTAGGTCCATCTTGGGGTCCCAGGGGCACCACAGCCCCATTGGGAGGTCAGAGCCCCGTCTGCCTCCCAGCCCTTCCACCAGCCAGCTCTGAAACTTCCCCTTCAGCGACCCCTCCCACAGCCTTTGTTCAGTCTCCGGGCACAGGTGTCACCTGGCCTCTAACCCCTCCCTGGGTTCTCATGTTACATGCTCAGGTATTCTCCGTGGGTCAGTCTCCCATCCCCCAGTGCAGACTATCC